AGAACAGAATAAAATGCTTTGGAGATTCAAGGAAGATGGCTTTGTTTCCTCTGGAGGATCCTATAGACGGTCCACTGGGCAACAGATATGTTTATGTTGGTCCTTTGGCTTAGTAGCAATCCCCTCCATTCTGACCTGATTAGAGGAGCTAAAGGTGTGTGGAGGGGTAGTCACGTAACTCTGGCTTCTAAAGGGATTTGGGAATGCTTGCAGAGATACTCTGTAGCCACAAAGCGAGATTGTGTTGCTGCCCTGGTCTTTGACTCCTCCACCATCAGACCATGCTTCACCCTCATCCTGCCTTACAATTACCTGGTTGTGAGTGTGTCTCTGTCTCTTCCTTGAGGTCAGGGAATATTTCTAATGTGACTTTCTGGCCCCAGCTCCTAGCATAGGTCCATACAAATTTGGTGAACAAAGGAATTAGCAGTGGATTTGGGCTGTTGGCTCTCCTGTGGTCTGAGGAAGAGATTTCTTGGATTGCATACTAATGGTTCTCAGTTGGAACGCATGAGAGAGAATATGGATGGTCTGCTGTTCAGATTAGTAAATAACATTTCCTGGTCAGGGGCAGAGTTGTGGCCCCAAACCATCTAGGTATACAGCAGTCTCAAAAAGCTTGGAGGCTCTTCGTGATGTGGGAAAGTCATTAAATCATTGCAGTGGCGACTGTATGTGTTTACAGCCCCTTTACTTGCTATAATCTACAGATAAACTTTCATGACATTGGGACTTTGAAAGTATTATCATCCTTAAAGTTTAAATTGGACTGTGAATTTCAGAATTACAGATAAGGATGCAACACAGAGTGAAAGCATTACTACACCTTTTCTGCTCACTAGAATCTTAATCTTAAAGAGAGACGAGTGCTTGGGTAGGAACTTCAGAGCACAGAAGTGTGCACAGATGTGTGTGCTTATGTGTGTGCATGTCTGTACAGAATCACATGCAACACTGGAGGGCTACTGAGGAAGGATGGTAGTCCAGGGAAAGGGCCTCTAAGTACATACTCTTAGTGCCAGAGTGAGAGGGTACTTTTAACTACCTGTTAATATGTCCCATAGGACACCAAACCGTGTAAGTTAGCAGTGTCTCCCTGACTCTCCAAGCATACCCTCAAGTATGGGTGGCCAATAATGTGTGTGGTGAAAATGTTGGGTTCTGTGCTTTTATCTTGGGATTATATTGAACACAGTGGATCCCAAAAGAAAAGAGTGAAATGGTCAGCTCTGCCTACACTCTGGTTTGCCCTTTCTTCAAGAGGGGACATTTCTGGACATTAGTTACCAGACTTGTTCCCTGATCCTTCTCCCAGTCTGCTGGGGTACCTGTTGGTACTGGGCATTGCCATAGGGACACATTCTCCTTGGCCTTGAAGTTCAGCCATTGCCATCTCCCCATTTATTTTGACTGGGTAATGACTATGGGGATGATGGCTTTACTTCTAACTTCTGATTGTAAATTTCAACCAGGAGTTTGCATACTATTATCCAGATATTACTAGAGACCCGGGGACTTGTTAAGAGCAGGGCTTCTAGGTACCGCCAACCAGAGGCTCACCTCTTTCAGTTACTCTCCATGCCTCTGTATCTTTGTTTGTAAAATGGGAAAAACAGTATCTGCTTTTGCAGACCAGTTCTAAGGGATTATACAAGATGTGTTGCAAAGTGCTTAGTGCAATACCTGGCACACAGCACACACTCAGTAAGTACAAACTCATATCATTTTCTTTGTTTTGTTCACCTCTCTCCTTTGCTTCTCTCTTGGTCATTAGAACTTCCCAAAGTGTCTTATTTCTCGTGGATGTTGGGCCAGTGTGATGAGTACAGTCTAGCTTGTTTAAGTTTGCTTATCTATTTGGTTTCCCATTTAGAGAATTCTCTGAGTGATTACAGACTTGTCTTTGGGGAAGCCATCTGTGTACACATGCTCACTATGTCTCCCTTTCCAGATATCTCCAGCCCCAAACGCCTCCCTGCCTCTCCCCCATTCATTTTCTTCTTGGCTTGGCTCACACTCAAGTCTCTGTGTATGCCTTTAAATTGTGTGTTTCTCTTGATGGAGGGGAAGCTCTGTGGGGGCCAGAGACCCCTCTGAGGTGGGCTCTGCTGCAGCATTGAGACTGTGCACTGGGAAGAAATGAATCAAAAAGTGATGCAAGTGGCCAAGCTGAGTCCTGAAGGAGCTTTGGGGAAGGATGTTCCTGATGTCTTCCATGAGCCAAAGGCAGGGTTGTGACAGCCTGTTCTTTTTTTTTTCTAAAGGGCTTTCTAAAAACCTTTCTGTTTCATTTCTGAGAAGTAAATCTAACTTGTCACTGCACAGTGAAGGAGATGCCATTTCAGAATGTGCCAGATTGGGATATGGACTATCTTGAGTTGAAAACATTGACGAAATTATAGTTTCAGGAAGAGCAAGCCATAAAGATTGTTCTGGGAGGGGTACACTCCCTGCACAGGGGTGAGAAAACAGCTTTTATCTCCAGAGGCTTGGAATTGGAGGCTGCAATGGGCCCCCATAAACAAAGTTAATGACATGCCCTCACCCTTTCTTCCTAGTTACTGCTCTTTGCTAGATTTTCTGTGTCTTGTCATTTCTTCTTAGATTTCTTGTTCTTTAGCTAAAGTGTATAAAAGCATTTTACTTGGGCCTCCTCTTCAGAATTCATGGAAAACTAATAAAAGGCGTCTGCTTTTCTCTTGCTCATGTGCCTGGTCCACTTGGTTTCTAGATCTGCCTGAAGAGCCTACAGGAGGTAAAATGGGGGTTGGAGGTGATCTCTGGCCAGCTCCCTTATAATAGTCCTTTTTTCTCTCTGGTACTGTCTCTTGGTCCATGGAAATACTAAGTAAAAGAATTCAGAAGTTCTGGAAGTTCTTGGCTTTCTGTGTTCACTCAAAAACGTGACCTGAGGAAGGAATTCCAGCCAGGTCCCCTGTGCTTGTCTGTTCAGAAACCCAGTAAAACTCCACCCACTTTATCTCTGACAGAGAACTTCCTGTTCTGGCTTTGCACTCTAATCACGTGACACATCAAACATTAACTTGGTTCTGAGATTGGTTCTTGTGACATACAAGTAGGAGAGGGTGAACCTGAACCTCTGCGGGGAGAAAAGGTGCCATGGCTGTTGGGCCTCAGGGCTGCCACACGCTTTTCCTGGGCCTGCTGCTCTGCGCACTGAGCCCCACCGTGTCTCATGCTGGGAAGGTGTTGTTGGTCCCAGTGGATGGGAGCCATTGGCTGAGCACGCGTGGGGTCATCCAGCAGCTGCAGCAGAGGGGACATGAAATAATGGTCCTGGCACCAGAGGCCTCGGTGCACATCAAAGAAGGAGCATCTTACACCTTGCAGAGGTACCCTGTGCCCTTTGGAAGGGAGGACTTGGTTGCATCTTTTGTGGATCTTGGGCACAACGTTTTTGAGAACAAGCCTTTCCTGCAGCGTGTGATCAAAATATACAAGAGAGTCCAAAAGAACTCTGCTCTGCTTCTATCTGGCTGTTCCTACTTACTGCACAACAAGGAGCTCATGGCCTCCCTGGCAGAAAGCCGTTTCGACATCATGTTGACAGATCCCTTCCTTCCCTGCGGCCCCATCCTGGCTCAGTACCTGGCTCTGCCTACCGTATTCTTCTTGAATTCACTGCCGTGCAGCCTGGACTTTCAGGCTACCCAGTGTCCCAACCCGACATCCTACGTGCCTAGGCATTTCTCCTTTTACTCAGACCACATGACCTTCCTGCAGAGAGTGAAGAACATGCTCTTTACCTTGATGGAGAACTTTCTGTGCAGTGTGGTTTACTCTCCATATGCGCTCCTTGCCTCAGAATTCCTTCAGAGGGATGTGACTGTCCAGGACCTTTTCAGCTCTGCATCTGTCTGGCTGTTGAGAAATGACTTTGTGAATGATTACCCCAGACCCATCATGCCTAATATGGTTTTT